TTCGTTGTTTACCGATGATTTGCAACCGGCTCTTGAATTGGCTTATGCCTGTGGGACGATAATAAAGGTATTGATTTATGCTGATGATTTGGCCATTTTTGCAGATAAACAAACCAGCTTTACAACTTAATTTAACGCCATGGCCAAATATTGCCCACAGTGGAACTTATTCTTAATCTTGAAAAAGCCAAATGTGTTGTGTTCCGTTATCAACGAGAAATGGTTTTATAAACGGCAATTGATTTAAATAACAAACCGTTATAAATTTTGAGGCGTTATCTTATCCACCTGTCTTCCTTTTATCCCACACATATTGGAGAGGGCTTCCGCCGCGAAAATGGCAATTTATGGGGTGTGGTAAAATTTCCTCAACAAGCAGCTAATATTTTTCCTTAGTAAATATACGGTGTTTAATCGATCTGTCGCTGCTTATCTTGCTATGGTGCTCAAGTTTCGAGGCTAAGGAGTTATTTGAGAGTGCCCTACCTTCTGCCACATCATGTTACATCTCGAGACAATGAGGTGGTCATTCTTTTCTTCAAGCTCGCAAGCATAGCCTTAGAGGGTTAAATTTACCCCCTCTCGTATTCCCAGGTTGTCATCACCCCTCAAACTATATGGAGACATTTTCCAAAATATGGTACTAGTAATTTTCGATTAGTAAATTGGGTGTCGTAACCCAAAAATCGTTAAAGTCAAATGCTCCTGTGTTTGTGCATGCTTTTTCATAGTGAGGAATCTTTGATGGTATCATCTTTGCTTCAGAACTGATTAATCTGAGTTGAATTTTCTTTCCCAATTGCTGTCAAAAGGGTATGGCAAAACAGACTTCGTCTTTCATTGCCCATCACCAATTTTCTAATAATTAAACCTCGGTGCGGTCCCTTGACTCTCTCGATTAATTATCGTCCCGGGACAGCTAACCCACTAATTTTCTGCAAATAAGAAAATTGCCTACGATACTGCGTGCAACTCATCGAACTACGCAAAATTCTTCCACAAAGTCGGCACAATAGATCAATTAATTTATAAATAATACTTTATAAATCGGTAATTTTTTCCGTTTCCGAAAACAAGCGTTTTTAGAACATAGTAAATACATTTTAAACAAAATAATGTGTTTTATTTTGGAAGAATTATCCTGAAAACCATTCAAAAACCAAGTTCACTTGGTTACTTTAGAGTTTTTATCTTATTCTTCCACTAATAAAATTTACACGGTTTGTTATTAATTGCCTATTTATAATTTTTAAGCTATATTACAATTATGGGAAGCACCGGTATGGTTATAATGTAATAAACTTTGGAATGGAACGCTCTTCCTACATGAGTCCCCTGTACATATAATTATTAATAACCTAATAAAATTGTAAACTTGAAATAATAATCTTTCAAGTTGTGCTGAATCCACAAACCTAATCACAAACACCCGACTCCTGTAGAGATCACCACAGGGAAGGATGGATGCACTGGCGAGATAATCTTTATTTTCACAAAGCAAGTAAAAAATCCTTTTATTTTATTCCCTAATTTCGTGGTCCGCTTGACCAATTAATATACTACAATTAATTAAGATTTTTAGTTGAGATAAAAATGTCAACTAATTAATATTTATGAAAGGTATTGGTCGAGATAAAAAAGTCAGTGTCACGAGCGGGATTCGAACCCACGATCTTCGGTTAGATACGCCGCTGCTCTACCACTTGAGCTATCGTGACCTCGATCCACTCGGACACTAACTTCCCATCTCAACCCCACCTTTTTGAATTTTGAAAAATGGCAAAAAGGAGGGAAAATTCAAAAAGGTGGGGTTGAGATGGGAAGTTAGTGTCCGATTGGATCGAGGTCACGATAGCTCAAGTGTTAGAACAGCGGTGTATCTAGCCGAAGATCGTGGGTTCGAATCCCGCTCGTGCCAATGACTTTTTTTATCTCAACTAAAAACCTTAATTAATTGCTTTTATTTTATGTTAATTTGGTCGGTTTTTCCCGGTCTTTTGATATGTCGATATAGTTTTCCTGTTTTGTCCTGCGGGCATGATCCTGCGTGTCGAAACCTGTACGATCGACGTGTCGCCCAGTCTATCTACGGCCCTAAATATACTTGAAAGAAAGTCGATTTCTTTTTCGTTTAGTGGAGGGTACTTTTTGTACCAGTCTTCCATAAGCTCAAGGTGTTCTTGGATGTCGGTCCGGGCTTGGATAGGATTTGCGTGAGAGGAAAATCTGTAGTATCTTCGCGTAGGTGGTGTTGACGGTTAGGGTGTATAGGCCAGCAGTATAAATGATGGGACCAAGAATGCTCCCTTGTTGGTCGCCGGTTATCTGCCTGATTTCCGAGAACTAGTCGAATCACCTCACCCTGAAGCAGCTGTCGGTTAGATAGGATATCAGGATAAGGTAAGTGGGTAGGAAGTGTTTAAGTTTATAAAGCATGCCCGGAAGCCAGATCCAATCAAAAGCCTGTGACCTGAAAAGAAGAAAAGCAGTACTTAAACAAAAACTAACAGGAGAAAGAAATTCTTGTTGAAAACGTCTTTTTAATTTATCTTTAATTATCACAAATATAACAGTGATTTATTTTTTTTAACATTTGAGTCTGTGCTGTAACATTAAAACAAAGACATTTCTAGTGGTTTGAGAAAATGAAATAAACATTGAAATTTGCTTTATTTTTGATATTCCTATAACAATCAAGGTTCAAGTCTCATACCTACCAGTAGGATTTTTTTCGGCTGATTTTGTTTGTTATACATTAAAATTTACTAATCGGCTTAAATTATAAATTGATACAATCGCAATCATCACCGGTGCTGAAATCCGCCTGCGATATCCGTGAATTATCCTGTAATCCACTCTCAGGGGCCTGAATCCTCGAAGGTATTGCGAATGTTAATTATTTTTTCGTTTATTTTATTTGACTCTTAATATATTTAATTCATCAACTTTTCTGGGAACTGGTTTTTCCTCGTTATGTAAACTTTCAATCAGCCTGTAATTATTAATAGTTGCTGCAAATGCTTTGAAAGAGGAGAACCTTGAAGTATAAAGTTTTCTCAATTATCTGAATTTTAATTTTTTTATTAACAAGCTCTCAAAGAGGTAGCTTCTGAAATTATTATAAACAGAAAATGAAATTAGAATCGAAACTTAACATTTTCATACCTCATTAAATTACATGTAGTATTTAATTCAATTAATTATTCTTTTTATACAAGGTCTTGTTTGACATGAAAAAGTGTTACGAGCGGGATTCGTATCTCAACGAAGACCTTACATAAAAAGAATAATTAATTGCAAGAAGTAATTTGGTCAATTAGACCTCTAAACATAATGGATTTAATATTACTAAATTTAAAAGTATTTCATATAATTTAATTTACTTACTTATTCACATGCCAAAAATAATTCCTTAAGTTTTACTTTTTCTTAATGTCTATCAAAACAAAAATGGAAAGTATATACAATATTTACAATTCATTCGAAAAATTTACACGTTAAAAAATAGGACAAACAACGCTGCAGAAAAATATGATGCCATAGATGATAAAAATCACTATATGTATTTAAAAGGAACGAATAGACGTTAATACTAGCTGTGCTGTTCCTCTCGACTGGAAATGTATTCCTTAGTGACCTATTGCTTCATAATTTGTTGAAGTCATGAGGAGCGGTCAAAAATGAGTAGAAAAATACCTTTTTAATTTCTTTTCCCGACGTTTCGACCTTTATTCGGGCACAAATGTTGTTTGTACTCAGTTCAACTTTCATCTTCTCTTACGATTCACACCTGAAGTTGAAACAGAAAACGAAATACCATTCCTAGACACAGTCGTAATAAGGCAAACAGATGGCACACTAATTACAGATTGGTACCAAAAACCAAGGAACACTGGTCGCTACAATTATACATCGCACCACCCCCTACACACAATCTTAAACACTAAGTCACCTTCTTAATCCTTTCACCTAAAAAACATTCATACATACAAACAAGTCTTACATAACAACAACTACCCTAAAAACATAATCAACAGAATCATAAACAATTATAATCCAGCACAAAACATACGAAGACAAACGTACATGGCTCTTCCATTCGTCCTCACATTGTCAGACAAACTAAGTAAATTTCTCTCCTCAGAACACAACAAAATAGCTTTTAAAAACCGTAAAATAGTACATACACTGTTTTCCAAAATCAAAGACCCAACATAAACAGCCTACAAATCCGATGTAATTTATAAAATTAATTGAATGAACTGTCTAGCTACAAACGTTGGAATTACATCGCAATATTTAGGAAAATAGAAAAAACGACACGTTTATGACTGTAAAACACCAAAAACCAAACGCACAGCATTGGCCACACACTAGTTTGAAAAACAACTCAACTTTGATATCGAAAAAATACAAATACCAGACACGGAAAAAATACAAATATAATCGCAACTATCTGGAAATGATTTACATTAACAGAGACACACAGCACTAATTACAGAACAGATACATGCAAACTTAGTCGTAGCTAGCCAACATCATAAAGCATAACTATTAATTAACCTTAATTTTATATTTCACTTTCCTTAGTTATCATCCTTCCCAATATTGAATGCCAGAATATCATCATTCTCGACTACGATCAAAGAAAATTTCCCAGATTTTCCACGTCTCCCACCCCTCATATCATGTCAAAACGGCAGAATACAAATTCACGTTTCACAACACTTTCACACAAAACCAATACATCCCAAAAATAAGACCATACTTTATGCGAATATGAAAATTTCAAAATTTATATTTACAACTTATATTGTATTTTTTCCAATCAACATATGTTTTATAATTTACCCAGTCCCTGAAGATGACCCGAATAAAGGTCGAAAAAAAATAAAAAAGGTGTTTTTCTAAACTACCTCATTCTTGGCCGCTCCTCATGACTTCAACAAGTTAATACTAGCTGGGAGGCTTTAACTCACCAACGAATCAAAAGACAATAATAATCAGTATTACAACATTTTAATAATATACTATACATATTAGGACATTAGTTCTAATGTCGTTGAACTAAAAGAAAAACACTTGGCATGCGATGTTATATCGCATTATCGAAAATTCGCAACCGGCTTAACAAATTCTCGCCGGCGAGGATATTTGAAGCCGGTTTACAATAATATATCACACTTTTTAGAGTTAAGCACTTAAAACTATATTTACATTCAGTGCCGTAGTCATATTTACATGCATTTGAAATTTGTGGATTGTAGGTATGGTTCGTTTAATCGGGTATCCTGGTGTAGAGGTATCCGGTTGGCCTCGGGAGGATCTTCTTGGCGTAAAGGATGGCTGCGACGCATCCTGCGGCGAGGGTCGTCTGTGCCAGGACCAAGGTGATCAAAGGTGCGATGTGCGCAGTCGACAGGGCGAGAGAGACGGCGCCCGCTTTGGCCTCTTCCGGTGAGGCGGACAGCCTATGGCCGTACATGGACAGGAGATCCATGATGACTCCGTTGGACCAGCCGAAGCCGAGTTGTACCTCGTACTCGCCTCCGCCACCCCCTTTTCCGACCACAACGGAATCGTACTTCTCGTACATGTGGCCCGAGTCGTTGAACGCTTTGTAGTTGTTGAGTACCCACTTCTCGGCGAGGGAGAAGGCGAGCTCCTGGGCCTCCTTGTCGCCCGTCTGTTCCAGGCCCGTAATTACCATGTGCTGGAGCGGGGGCCAGGCATTCGGGTAGTCCCACTGCTCTCCCGAGTGCTTCAGGGTAGTCGGTATTCCGCCTGGGTAATCGATTTTCTTCAAGTACTTGACCACTCGGCTGACGTAATAATCTTTTTTCTCTGGTTCGTAGCAGTTGGTCCACAGCGGCGCGACGTTGGTCGGGTAGAAGAAATCCCTCTTCAATCCGTTTTTGATATCGTAATCCAGCCAAGCTCCCGTCTGTTCGTTCCACAACACTTTGGTGACGGCCGTCAACCACTCGGCGGCGATTTTCCTGTACTGCGCCTCCTTGTCCCAGTTACCCAGTATGTGATGAAAATCTGCTAATATGTCGGCGTTCTTATATAAAATCGAATTGAGGTCGACGGGAACGATACTTTTTGCCTTCGAATCCAAGAGGGACCCATCGTCGGTTCCGTTGGTGACGAACCACCTCGTGCTGAAATCCCATCCCGTTTCGGCGCAGGCTTTCAAATGCGAATAAAATTTGTTTTTGTCATCTTCATCTTGGATGCTCTTTGCCAAATTATAATCCTCCTTGTAGGATTCCGGTCTGGGCCCGTCGGAGAAGTCGTTGTAGGTAGCCATCTTGTAGACGACGCCGTCTTTCTCGAATCTGACCGTCCTGTTCGTCATCCAGAAGTCGAACTCCTTCTCCATTTCGCCGATGTGCTCTTTTATGAAAGTCAAGTCCTTCGTGGTTGCGAAATACGTCTCGACCATGGGTATGAAAAGAGGCGGCTGAGACCTGTTGACGTAGTAGATCCTGCCGCCATTCGGTATCAGACCGACGGTCTTGATAAGATGGACGAAGTTGGAAAGCATGCCTCGCACAGTAGAGTACATCTCGCTCTCCAAAAGGCCTCTTATCACCCAGTAAGAATCCCAATAGTAGACCTCCCTGAACCGCCCTCCGGGGATGATAAACGGATAGGGTAGATATATGATAGAGTAGAGCTGGCTGTTCTCCCTGACGTTCTCAGTGATTTTTCTACCTAAGCTCTTCCAGATCTGGTTCAGGTCGAAGCCCCATTTCCTCAGATCGGCGTCATTCACGGTGTCGAGAAACCTTGGGTACTCCTTCCAGTCGGCCGGGGACCATTCAACGAACTCGCTCCCCGGAGGTTCGAAATTATCGTTCACGTACTTTTTGATATCCTCCACCGGGGGGACTCCCTTAGTCGCCTCCATCAGCTTCCTGAAGTTGCTCTTCACCTCCTCGGGGCTCGTCTTGATTTTCATGTCCACGAAAGACTTGGAGTCTTTGAAGATCTCGTTGATCTGGACCGTGTGAAGGATGTCCCCGTAACAGTAGATGTCGTTCTCGCAAGGCGGCCCGTTGGACGCGTACGCCGCGGCGGTGATCAACAGGAAGAAAACCGTCTTCATTGCTTCCCTCGGGACTGGCCACTTCATCTGAAAAGAACGAAAGCAAAGTGTTACTATCGCACATACGGTCCAATTCGAAACCTGACCGGCCGCTAATGGCACAAATTGAAAGCAACCCGTGACCCGGCATTTGCAACAATTGGTGACCTAAAACGGATTCTCCTCCCGCCAAATCACATCTCCCCATTCATCGTACTGCCACTTAAATCTATTTATATAAATCGTCCTACCTTTTTACCATTATTCATAAACCGTTGGGCATTATTAAATAAACATTTTTTAAAAATATCTTTATAAAAGCTATTATTGCAGTAGATAAGCATAGGCATTTAAAAATTAACCTTCATTAAAAAGTTCAGTTTTTTGCATGCTGAAAATTATATATTGACTAAAACTTAAACATAACATTAATAACTTGTTGTTTACCTTTATAAAGTGTTACTAATGCTTTTACACTCTTTAGATTATAAATCAATTAAATCAGTTCAATTTCATTCTTTCCAGAGACAACTTTTCGAGTGAGTAAATTGGTATGGTTAAATCGTTTCCTTCCATGAAACCACGGTTTTAAGTTGCGAAGATATCGCCCTGGCAGATGCTTTGGTCAACTACATATCCCAAGACCTGGGGGTTCCGCGGTCTACCATCCATGTTGGTCGAATAGAAGGTGGTGGTCGATCCAGATGTGTAATGGCTAGAGATGTGCGTTTTATTGCTCTTACCGTATGGAACCGTGATTTTTCGGCTTCCTAGATAGATAATTCTCCAAACGGTCCGTAATGTACGTGTGAGCTCTGAAATGTCATCAGAAAGCTACTCTGATAATTGCTTATCCTGCATGTGGACTACTACTGCAGAGGCATCGAGTAGAAAGTCGATTATTCGCAAATCAGCATCTAGCTCGGACACTATTGAGATTGGGATCACATTGGGACGATATTCTCTTCAAAGAAGAGTGCCCGTTTGGTTGTGTCTATCAGGGACCTTCTGTGGAGAAGAATTAGCGATCGCTTTGTATCAGCGTGTGAGTTATGTCCATGTCTATACTGAACTGATATCTTAGATAGTTTGACTGCACTAATGTACATTGAAGAAATTCTGCTGGAAACTGTGGTCCCATTCGCTTCATTTATTGGGGACAACGTCTTGTTAATGCATGATAATGCTCGAACGCATGTAGCCTCGAGTTGTCACCCATTACTGAGAGGATGTAGAGATTACCAAAATGAATTTGCCAGCATCTCCTGACATTAATCCTATAGAACACTTAGGGGACAGGATAAAGACACGCGTAAGACATCGTTCGCCGACTCAAACAAGCGTACACCTTCAACCTCCGCGAGGCCAGAGGATATAATACAAAGAGAAAAACTAGGCAATACATGGTTAGTTAAAATATTATTCTATAACTAAATAATTTTCCTATGTTTTGGTGGATTTTCTTTCAAATCATAATTGACAATTAAATAATTTTTATAAAACCTTATGAATTTCTTATTTCATTTAATCTGGTTTAAATTAAAATAATTATGTTGTAATTAATAAACCGATGGAAATATATGTAGTTAATATGTAAATAAATGCGACTGCCTGTTTTTTTTAATCTATGGTTGTATGTTCTTCGTCGAAACGATTAATGTTTATTTATCAAATGTTGCTCGAATTTAGATATCTGATCGTTATTTATGATACTTTAATATTGCGCCACAGGAAACAAATCGCCTTTGATCTCATTATATGATTAGTAACTACTAAACGTTTCAACGAAGGATGATTCCTATTCAGATTAATTAACTAATGTTAAATGAATATGCAAAAACAATAAAGTATCGTAACACGACTGAAGCTGGCATTAAGTTTGATAAATATATATGTAAGCGCGTCTCTTCTGTTTTGGGCCCAACCCCGGAGAACCGAAAACTAGGTCCCAGAGGTTTTCTTATGATCGGACCTACTACATTAATTTTAATTTAATGATCAGGCACCTTTTTTTGATGTATGAAATTCCAATATTCAATTCAAACCAAAATAAATACGAAACCAAAATATTAATTAAATTTAAATCTTTTATTACAATTTATTTTCAAAAAAGATTACTATTTCTTTTATTAATTATTATTTTTAATTAAAAGAAGCTTTTATTCTATAATAAAACCTATTTCAGAATCTACAAACATTAATTTTACAATCGAATTTAATTCTCGTTTTATAAAGAAAAGTAAAATAAAGAAAATTATTATTGCTATTATTATTAATTTTTGACCACCAATTAGAAAATACAATTAATATTTTAACATAACTTTTAAAATCAAATGCTTTCTCTTTTAGTTTTCTTTATAAAATACATTTTTTGTGACAACCCTTTTTTAAATTAAAATACAATTATTAGTTTTAGTTTTTTTGACGTCAAAATATAAAATTTACTCACTTCAATTGTGTGCACACCAAATTTTTCTTCATTACCAATTAACAGCTTTTAACCCACGGAGGACAGAAAAGGAATTGCTTTTTTGATTGAAAAAAATAGGACTTTCCTAGCCCCCTACTCCTTTCACTGTCAGATGTGTGTGGAGGGGCATGGCGGTATATTCAAATCGAAATGTTACATATATATATTTATATATATCTAAAATAGTGGTAAAAGTGGAGCATTGAGTCTTCTGAATTTTTGATTACGTCATTAAGTTTAAGCTGATACTGCAAATTGAAACAGCGTAAATATAGAAGATAGTATTCAGCGTTCTTGGTTCTGCCGAATATAAAATTTATTCAAGCATAACAGCATAAGCATACTTTCAATTCAGCCATTGTGAATACTCGGCAAGGTGGTTGAAAGTTATATTGAAAACCACGTTTGATAACAAGAAATTGAAAGTCAAATTATGTTGGAATTAATTGGAGTGTTTTCCGCTAAACCGGTTTTTTATCTATCCGTTTATTATAATGCAACTTTTCTCCCACCCGTTCAGGGTAATTTACGTAACCCTGGAGGTTAAAATCTCTTTCAAGGACTTGGCCATTGTCTTTTCCGTGCCTGCACCTCCTGTGCTTTGTCACTCGGTTCACTCGAATTTATATATATTTTAAAAAAGAATTTATTTATTTTTTTCCCGATTAAAAAAAAACAGTAGGTTGACTCTAAATCATGAAAAAACATTAACGCCAGTTTTAAAATTTTTGAGGAGGTAGGCGAAATTTAATGGATAACTTGGTAAATTCTAATAAATAAAAGGAAATGGCCTTTTATCCTAAAATGTAAAAAATCACATTTATTTACTTCAAGAGTGTACAACTATTACTACTACTACTAGTGTACTAGAAAATTATGCTTAATTCAACCTATAAGCGATAAACGAAACTTTCTATATGGCAGAACGAATTCTGATTCAACATCCTCAGATAAAAAGGAAAATTGCTGGGTAAAGGGAATTTTTTCCATTTTCACTCTAGTAAAATATAGCCTGGAGAAGTTGGAAGTATTTTTCCACAAAATATCAAAAGACAATGCCTCGATCAAGGCCTTCAGACGCCGTCCTTGATTTTTAGAACGACTTCGCCCGATTCGAAAATTTCTTCTGAATGTGCTGTATGCAGAACATGTTGCACATGAAACTTCAACAAATTCTAACGGATTTCGTCACGATCCGCCAAAAATTCCTGCCCTGGCCTCTTTAACGTCGAAACAGATGAAGATACCTCGTAGGCACCGGGTCTGATACGCAATGGTTTTTTCCCTTCCAGAAGCAAGGACGCGCAGCGTCTGAGCGTAACGAATTTTCCTACAAACTATCGGTATTTTTTACCGTAAAAAAACTTGGAATTGTCTTACATAAACTACTGACTTTAAAAAAAAATTAACTGTGTAGACTCAGACAAAAAATGCTATGAAGAACGGTACTCAAAAGGAGCAATCATCGCAAAATCAAGTTACTACGTACTAAGTTATCTATACATAGATAATTAATGAAATTATTATAATTAGTTTTTAATTATTTTAAATTAATAGATAGTTAATTGTGTTTTATGGTTGGTGTTTGTAGAACAATCACGCCAATTATTGACCAACGCCCTTGTCCATATATTTTTCGAGTATCAATTTAAAATCAAATGACTTTTGAAAAAAGAGAGGGTTTAACAAACTGGGAAGGTAGGGTGGCGTTTTTAAGTATGTTTAATAAAGAAGATAGGATAGAATTAACCCAGTCACTAAATTAAATCCCCACTTTTGGCTTTATGAGTCGGTCGTCATTTGCCCTCCTATTTTCCAGAAAGTCCGGAGACCGCAAATATGATTCCAGAGGCTTGGGAATTTAAGTATGGCGCCTAATTCGGCTCCGCTCTGGGCCCGACGCGACAAAGTCCTCCGGAACGTGACCGGACTTTGTAAATGGGAGAAGCCAGGCAAAGACCCTAGAGCAAGAACATATTTTATTAATCCATGATGTGTTTGATGTTCCTTTGGGATTAATCTGGATAGAAAAGTAAATTAATGAGAACAGGGCTTTAATTGTTAATTAGGACTATAAGTTTTGTAAAAAAAATATTTAAATCATATTCGGTTTCAATTTCGGGAATTTATAATTAAAAATCTGCGAGAGTTTACATTAAAAAAAAAAATGTTTTATAGATTCATTTTAAGGTACAAATTACTTTTTTACGTTTTGAGGACTTTTGTTATAGGCTCATATTACAGTTTTATTCGTCATCCCATTTTCCAAAGGTCATAAAATATTAAACTCTTTAAAAAAAATATAACATCTGTTTTTCACGGCGAAAGGACATACGGGAAGAAGATAGGATCGAGACGATCCTTCGACTTCTCCGAACTGTGCCAAGGATGCGGCAAAAAACCCGGAGGTCCTAGTTGGTCCTGGTGCTTCGCGTTATACCCAACGGTAAAAGGTAATAGCCCACATCTTATCTTTATTGACGGTTGAAATTGCTGCCGGGGTCGGTTTCCCGACCAATTTTACCAACCATCGAACCTTACACGCCATAAAGGATATAAAATAAGAAAAGATTATCCA